TATGTATATATATATATTATGTGTGTGTATGTGTCTGTGTGTTTGTGTGTGTGTCTGTGTGTGGGTATGTGTGTTTTGACATGACGTGCAAAAGCACCCGTCTCTAAGGTTTGACAAGCCTCTGGCGACGTCCTTGGAGGCCAACAATCCCTTCGGGTACTGCATACGTGAACTGGCTGTAGATTTCTTCCCATGGTCTTTCATTTGGAAATGGTCGGCTTTAACACCTCTTTTGATCGTCTTACTTTCTTTAGTTGGTAATTGTAGAAACTGCTTTTCCAAATTGAGATGGATGAAAAATTGAAAAACTCTCCCTTGTGTGTGGTTGGTAGGTGCTCTGGTGTGTGTTGCTCCTTCTGTCTTACCAAACATCTATCGTCCTGATCTTTCCTTCTTTTTTATGCTTGTTACTCTCTTGTTTCCCCTCTGATCTTCGGCACTTATATATGACCTTATTGTGTTGCAAGTGCCGTAATACTCTTACTAAAAACACCCTAAAAACACATCACTTGTGGTTGTTTGATCTTAGATCATCAGTGAAGTCGTTTCTATGTTTTTATTGACTGGGCTAAAGGTAGACATTGAACAAGAAGAAGAAGAAGACGAAGAAGAAGAAGAAGAAGAAGTTCACTCAGTACTGCCTGCAGAAAAAGGCGAGCCCACCGCTATGAAACGCCAGCGCGTTGCAGTTCATGCATACTTAATACTCGGTTAGTAAAATTGACAGACCAAAGCCGAGTGGCTCTGCGCTGTGTTTTCCCCCCTTATCCCCATAATTTTCCACCCCAACTGCTGCAACAGACGGCAAAGCGAGCGTGGGACAGGGGGCACCGCTTTCAAGCGAGTTGCGAGTCCTCTCAAGACCCCACTGAGAGGACTGTGTCAACTTTGGTGTTTTTGCGCAAAACACCGTTGACCCAGCCCGCGATGAAAGGATTTATTTACATGTGTTCTCGCAGCCTTGCGACGTCCAATGGGCGTGATAGGTTCCGTCACTTTCATGTGCTGTGTTTACGTCATCTGTCCTTTGTTGGTGATGAATGAGGAAATGTTTAGCTCCACTGCAACACACACTCACCTGCTGTATTTTCCGTTTTCTTCGACTGTGCGGATGTTTTTTTCTTCTTAAATCAGGCAAGGGAGGGGGGAAGGGGGGAGAAAGAAGTTCTACTGGTTCTTTATTCCTGTTTTCTATCCCTCCATTAATTCTGTATGGCTTTCTTGCTTTTGACTTACACAAAGTGGTCGTTATTGTGCCGATGTTCTTCTCTTTACTCACACGAAACGAAATCTGCGATTTTCAAGTGCTGGGGTATAAAAAAATTGCTGTTGTTGAGGCGATAGTAACGGGTATCACTACTAGGTCCCACTTCTTTATTTTCCGTTTTATTTTTTATTTGTTTATTTGCCGTTTCTGTCTTCCTGTCTTACCTCACACACAACACCAAATGGCAGTTATTTTGTGGGTGGCTCTCTTCACAAAAAACTCTTTGATCTTTGACTTTCTCATGCTGGACATTTAATACTTGCTATTGAGGAGACGATAGTGGTGGGGGATTGGATGGTGCCACTAGGATTCCTTCTTTCTTGCAGTTCCTCTTTTCTTTGTCTGTCTGTCTTGCTTTTCCTCTAGCTCTTAATGACTGTATCTGTTAATTACTTTCTACTTCGACTTCCAAGTGCTGCGAATATCAAAACTTACTTTTGATGAGGTGATAGTGGCAAGTCGTTACTCGTAGAAAAATGTGAGTTCGGTTTTCAAGTAGGAGAGTTTTTAAAAAATCTCAATGTCTGCTGAAATGTATCTCACTCAGCCCTTGTTGGTTCTGACTGGCAGGGTCACAGTTCTGTTGGAGGGGGCGTAAAACGTCCATAATTACAAATCATACGTTAGATAAAGGGATGTGCAGCTCAGCGTAATTGCTTTGGTTGGCTTTTACTGACTACCTGAACGAATCCGTATAGAAAGGTAAAGGTTTGTATTGAGAGAACGTCACTCAAGCAGAACGGTGTCCTCCCCGGAAGGTCTCGGGCCGCTGCATCTCGACATTGACATGATGAGTCGTATACAGCTAACTTGATAGAGCGTGCGCTCTGGTGCGTGTCTATCTATTGGTGGTGTGCTTTCGTCTCTGTGGTTGTTTGAGTTCACTGGCTGATACGTCATCGTGAGATTAAGTAAGATTTATCTTGTGTTACCCGTAGTGGTCCTGTGTGCAGCACTGCTTGGACGTCTAGTGTGAACAGTGCTTCTGTCAGACCACTCTACAGTGAGGCTGGCGAGCTGTAGTGAGTGGATGCGTCAAGTAGTCAGTGCCAAGATGACGGGCTCTTTGTCTGTGTTTGTGATGATGATGGAATAATAAAGCGTGGTAATTACGGAAGCATAATGTGTTTCAGGTTTTATAAGAGTTTGACAGCTTTTGCAACACAGATAGGCAAATAATATATATGCCGAGAATTTTAGGCGTTACTAGAGAGTATAAACAGAGAGGAGAAGGATGATAACGATAGATGTTTGATAGCAAAGAAGGATCAAACTATATCAGAGCATCTGCCAACCACCCACACAGAAGGTATGATGATTTCGGTAACATAAGATGTGATGATTACGGAAACATAAGAAACACTATAAAAATATGTGTGAATCTTTCACGGACAAGCCCTCCCCTAGCACAAAGCAAGACCATTGAGAACAGACTGGACTGAGGACGAAAGTATAGTGGCAGGGCGAGGAAGTACGCCTAAAAGTAAAGAAAGGTAGATCATGAAGATAAGTGCTTGTCGATCTTTTTGTAGCCAGCGTCCACTTTTGCCATATCTAAGACCGTACATTTTCGTACCGCCCACCTGCATTTGTAGCCAAATGGGGCATCAAATAATACATAACTACCGGGGTGATCCCATCCCACCATCAAACAGACCAATTAATCACTTAATCGTGGACGATATCTCCCAGATTGGCAAGCTCACGTAAAGAAACCAATACGGAGCTTGGTTTGCTTGTGTAACGTTCTGACCACGTGCATTCAAACTACAAATAAACAGGAGAAAAAAAGAAGTCCATCGGACAACTAAAACATCCAACGAGCCAAAATGAACCGTCTTCATTGGTCAATATTGTTCTTCCAAAAGTGAATATTCCGATGGGACTTGTGTGATTTTCTTTATTTATGCGGGTTGAAGGACTATCTTGGTTCGTGTAGCAATGACGATAGTGCAGTGGTAGGGCAGGGGAGAAGATCTCTTTGATCTCGAAAAGAAACCAATATTGTACTTGCTTGTGTAATCGCCTGTGTATGTCTGCACGTTGTCCTGTTTTTAACCAGTGAACAAGAAACCATTATATCCTTTCGAAATCCTTTGCAGTTGTGAGTGGCTCGATGTAAGCAGAAAGCTTTCAAGAATTATAAGCCTGTTATTGAAAGGAATAATAATATTCTTTCGTATAATTTGAATTCTACAAGCTCTTAAAATAGGAGTGTCTAGACAAGAGAGTTCATAAACATTACTTCTCTGTGTCCAAAATTGTTGCTTGGATCTGTTTTGATTGGTCCTGTTTTGATTGAGCAAAGTTGAATATACGGAACTTGGATATGGAGATTGTGTGATCTTGGTTGTTTATGCCTTCTGATGGAACGCCTTAGTCAAGCGGGTGGCACGGAACATTGTGCTTACTGAGGGCTTTCAGGTAAGCATTTTTTTTCAGTCTACAAAGCTTGTGGTTATTGAGAGATGACTGTTTATAAAGACTTGATAGGACTTTTTCCAACTGGCAATTCCCTTTCCTTTCTCTCTCGACCCTACCCCTTCTCTCTCTCTCTCTCTCTCTCTCTCTCTCTCTCTCT